GTCAACAAGATGCAACCAGAGTCAACAAGATGCAACCAGAGTCAATAAGATGCAACCAGAGTCAACAAGATGCAACCAGGGTCAACAAGATGCAACCAGTCAACAAAATGCAACCAGAGTCAACAAGATGCAACCAGAGTCAACAAGATGCAACAAGATGCAACCAGAGTCAACAAGATGCAACCAGGGTCAACAAGATGCAACCAGGGTCAACAAGATGCAACCAGAGTCAACAAGATGCAACCAGGGTCAACAAGATGCAACCAGGGTCAACAAGATGCAACCAGGGTCAACAAGATGCAACCAGAGTCAACAAGATGCAACCAGAGTCAACAAGATGCAACCAGGGTCAACAAGATGCAACCAGAGTCAACAAGATGCAACCGGGGTCAATAAGATGCAACCAAAGACAACAAATCTCAATGGGAGACAGGATACAAGAGAAAAGAGACGAGAGACAAATACAGAAATAGAGATGTAATAAAGATAACAGGACTTAACGAAATACAAGAAACTGTTTGTACCACATGACTTCATACTTTGAATGATTTTAATGTGTTGGTCAATTTATTTTGAAGATTAAAAAATGTTTTGGAGTAATTGTTGTTTTTAAATGTATAACCACAGCTTTGTGGATGTTTTCTATCACATATTGAATATACAGTTGCAAGAAAAAGTGAACCCTTTGGAATTACCTGGATTTCTGCATAAGTTGGTCATAAAATGGAGGAAGCCACTGCTGTCCAGAAAAAACATTGCTGCACGTTTGAAGTTTGCAAAAGAGCACCTGGATGTTCCACAGCACTACTGGCAAAATATTCTGTGGACAGATGAAACCAAAGTTGAGTTGGTTGGAAGGAACACACAACGCTATGTGTGGAGAAAAAAAGGCACAGCACACCAACATCAAAACCTCATCCCAACTGTGAAGTATGGTGGAGGGAGCATCATGGTTTGGGGCTGCTTTGCTGCCTCAGGGCCTGGACAGATTGCCATCATCGACGGAAAAATGAATTCTCAAGTTTATCAAGACATTTTGCTGGAGAACTTAAGGCCATCTGTCCACCAATTGAAGCTCAACAGAAGATGGGTGATGCAACAGGACAACGACCCAAAGCACAGAAGTAAATCAACAACAGAATGCTTCAACAGAAGAAAATAGGCCTTCTGGAGTGGCCCAGTCAGAGTCCTGACCTCAACCCAATTGAGATGCTGTGGCATGACCTCAAGAGAGCGATTCACACCAGACATCCCAAGAATATTGCTGAACTGAAACAGTTTTGTAAAGAGGAATGGTCCAAAAGTCCTCCTGACCGTTGTGCAGGTCTGATATGCAACTATAGGAAACGTTTGGTTGAGGTTATTGCTGCCAAAGGAGGGTCAACCAGTTATTCAATCCAAGGGTTCACATACTTTTTCCACCCTGCACTGTGAATGTTTACATGCTGTGTTCAATAAAAACATAAAAACATATAATTGCTTTTGTGGTTTTAGCTTAAGCAGACTGTGTTTGTCTATTGTTGTGACTTAGATGAAGATCAGAACAAATTTTATGACCAATTTATGCAGAAATCCAGGAAGTTCCAAAGGGTTCACATACTTTTTCTTGCAACTGTATGTTCTGAACAGATATCAATGAGACAAACTGTTGAAAAAAAATGATTAAAACTAACATGGTAAACCTCAGCATTCATGTTAGCTAGACTCTCGGGCTTGTTTAGCCTCGCTGCTGGTGTGGATAAATAGCAGTGAGATCAGAAATATGCAGATAAAACGATTTCACACCGGGGTCACGCTCAGGAGAACGTGAAGCAGCTTAACACACAAACACAAATATCTTGTGAT